TGACAAAGGCACTAGCTTCTTTCATGGCCTTATGAATCGAAGCACAAAGCCAACCACATTGCGGCTCTTCAACGGAGAGATGGACGACTTACCACCTCTATTAAAGAAGTCGGAGAGGAGTTTGTCTCTTACTTTCGGAACCTCTTGGGTACCTCTTTGGATATGGTCCTTCTAGACCCGAATATTATTGCCGGTGGGCCTCGATTAAACATGGATAGCCATAATTTTCTTCTTGCTTCGGTCACGATGAATGTTATCAAGAAAACGTTGTTCGGTATAGACAACGACAAAGCTCTAGGTCCGGATGGTTACTCTTCTTTTTCTCCAAGCAGGCATGGGATATTGTTTGGAATGATTTTTGTTCGGAGGTTATAGATTTTTTGGTTTATGGGAAGCTTTTGAAACGAGTCGACTACTCTATTATAGCTTTAGTCCCTAAAATGGCCAACGTTTCTTTGCCTAGCGACTACGGACCGATTTCCTACCGCAATGTAGTTTATAAGGTGATATCCAAGATAATTTCCTCTAGGCTCTCCCCGGTACTTCTAGACCTTATGAGTCCCACGCAGAATGCCTCATTGGGGGATAGGAAAATGTCCGACAACATTTGCTTGGTTCAACGAGTTGTTTCGTATGTATGGTCGAAATAGAGCTTCTCCTAGGTGCCTAATGAAAATTGCTTTTCGTAAGGCATTCCACTCGATGCACTAGGGCTTCTCGAAATAGCTTCTTTTATAGTTGGGCTTTCGGCTAGATTTGTTGATTGGATTAGTGCATGTGTGGAGTCGGCTTCCTATTCCATTTCGGTTAATGGGGCCCTGTTTGGGTTCTTCCGGGTGCGATAGGAGTCGAGCAAGGAGACCCACTCTCTCCTTATCTTTTTGTGGTTTGCATGGAATATTTCTCCTGTTTACTTCGGTGGCCACTCGTGACTCCGGCTTCAACTTTCACCCTAAATGTAGGTTCCATGCCATCACCCACCTTGCCTTCGTGGATGATGTGTTGTCGCTTTTTCATGGAGATTTAGCCTTTATCCGAATTCGGTCCAGCCAACTGTCTCTCTTCGGTCAAACTTCGGCCCGACCATCAATGTGGCCAAATCCTTGATTTTCTTCGGAGGGGTGGAAGGCGACTTGAAAAACTCTATCCTCTTTGAAACCGGTTTCGTTAGGGCTCCTTCCCGTTTAAATACTTTGGGGTCCCTCTTAGTCCTCATCGCTTGCTTGCTAGTTAGTTTGCTCCTTTGTTTCACGATCTTGAGCCTACAATCCGAGTCGGATCGGTAAGCACTCGTCCTACGCGGGTAGGCTAGAGCTGCTACGATCGATCCTCTATGGCATGATCCAATTCGGCTTTCTATATTTCTTATGTCTGCTATTGTTATTGCTCGTCTCATAAGTATGTGTCGAAACTTTTTGTGGATCGGTGACATCCGGAGGAGCTCTTCGACATTGGTAGCTTGGAAGCACCTCTGTCTCCTTAAAGAAGGCAAATTAGGCCTCTTAGACATCAAAGCGAGAAATCAAAGTTTCCTTGCTCGGCGCCTCCGGGACATTCACCTCAAAGCCGACTTCATTTGGATCCACTAGATCCACCATTTCTACTTGCAAGATCGTCGTGTTTGGGATGTAGAAGCCCACCGAATCGCTTCGCCTTTGTGGAAAGCTATTATTGATTTGAACGACTTACTTGTTGCGAAATATGTTAACCAAAAAGGAGCTATTAGAGAGCTAGCTTAGTGGCACCGGCTAAGGGGTGCTTTTGTCGTACAACGTATACCCGACTCGGACCTATAGGGGATACCGTAAGATAGGGTCGAGCAATTTGGGAGGGGTCCTAGCCGCGGCATACCTTTATTCTATGGCTTGCTTCTCGACGTGCCTTAAAAACTAGGGATCGTCTCCGCTTTCTCCCTACCGAGTGAAGCTTGTCTTTTTTATGGCTAAGCTAATGAGTCATATAGCCATTTATTCTTCTCTTGTAACTAGTCGGCAACCCTCTAGTTGAAGATTAAGAGTTGGCTCCAAATTAGAAGAGGTCCGACTACGCCCAATAGTGCACTCCGAGGTCTCTCCGACCATCGTAACAATCTTAAATCTAGAATGAGACGGGTGGCCTTAAGTATAACAATTTATGTAATCTAGAAGGAACGTAACCGAGTGAGTCTTTGAGGATTCATCCAGCTTGATTGACACGAGTGCTTCGAAAGTTTAAGATTCTCTTCTACATGGTCTACTATTTCCATGAGTCGGACCACCTCCTCCCGCATATGGGAATGCTTTGATTTATTACTTGGTCGGTTCCCTTGTAGGCTCTATAGGTCCGGTTTTTTACAAGTCTATTGGGTCTCTCATTTCGTTTTTCGGAGGCTATTTGGGTCCGCTCAACTGCGGTCCGGTTGCAATTATTCCGGACCTTCTAGTTGCCTTGCTCTCGGATATATGCCCACTGCTGACCTTTGTTTGGGCCTATCTCGGATGTCTTGATTTATTTGCATGCTCAACTCTTTTATCCTGGTTGGTTTTTTTCTCTTGGTATGAGGGGTCCGAAATATTAGCCTTCCCCTAGGCGCCCCTCAAAAATTATCCCACGATCCGAGTGGGCTTCACCTAGCTCGATTCCTTGCCGTGTATAGCTATCTCCTTCGATAGCGGAGGTCGGGCCTAACCTCTCCTAGCAATCCGTCCAACATTCTTTCTAGCTTGGGCATCCGCCTTTGTTGTGTTCCTTTGCCTCTACCGAGCTCCTTTTTGTCAAGCGGTTTCCTCCCTTGTCCGGCCTTGGTTTGGTAGACGAGCCTTCCCGCTCATTGCCCCTTGGCAAGCCCTAACGCTGCTCGCTCCTCTTGGATCCTATTTTTCCGTCGAGCTAGCAGTGGCTTTGTAAATTGTTGGCTATAATTTTGTAAATTATTGGTTTTTATTTAGTGCTTTCTCAGCAATGTTTTTGTATGCTTTGTTGAGCCTTTGTAAATGGTTCATGTTAGCTAGCACACGGTCCCTATCTAGTTTTCTCGGAATCTCTACAATCTGTTTGATTCCTTGAACAACCATGTAGTTCTAACTCTTTGTTTTGATTCATTGGGAGCCCGTTCCTAATTTTTGTAAATCCTATAATATGCTACTCTTACTTATTTTTCTTCTAGCTAGTTTTCTTTGATTTATATACTTACATTTTAAATCAAAAAAAGAAGAAAGAGCTATCAATGGATCAAGAAAGAGCTCTTAGTAGGTGCATCCTAGGAGAGAGAAAGAAGAGAGAGATGCTCTCCTCCTATGGAGATCTTTCCTCCAATTGCGTCCCCGATCTTTTTGTCTAATAACCTTCTGCTCCCTCTCCGACCTCCCCCCTTACTATTACTACTCATTTTCCCCCTTCTCTTTTCGTTTCCCCCTTCCCCCCGGTTTCTCTCTCCCCGCTCCTTTCCCCTTCCTTCCTCTTTTTTTTATTTTCCCCATCCTTGTGTCTCTGCCTCCTCTTTCTCGGGCCATGGCCAAAAGAAGAAGTCGGTTTCTAAGATGAAGGAACCACCAACCGAACCGATCATGGCTTTGCCTGTTCCAATAAACCCACCTTCGAGTCCTCCCGGTTCGGACACTCGCTCCCTAACTCAAATCTGCCACTTCTATGGCTATTGGGTCCAGACTTCGGTTACCAAACCTCCTCCACCGGTGAGGGTGGTCGTAAAAGATGACTCTAGTGAAGAAGATTTCGATCCGGAAAAAGAAAAATTGGAGTCGGAGGAAGATAGCTTTGCGGATTCAAAGCTAAATGAAAATTTTGTTTCTCGCCCAATATTTTCAAATTCCAAAATTTCAAATTTGGCTGAAAATTTGGGTTCTCGTCGAAAAATGTCAACCTCCAAATTTCCCGGCTAAGTGGTCGTTGAGCCAAACACTCCCACTGTTCATCTTCAGCCCCTTCCCTCTCGGAATGATGGGCCTATCATTGATAGTTTGACCAATAGAGGGTCGGGCGATGCTCGCTTCCTCTCCATCGGGCGTGGCCGGACCTCCACCCAAAGTCTACCCCAACCATCAAACTCCGGCTAGCCTAGGTACCTCTTAGCTCCCTAACGCCAAATGGCATGACTCGTTTGTTACTAATCATAATGCTACATTGTACCCTAAGCTCACTCATTTTATCGTCATAATCGAAAGTAAATCCTATGTCTTGTGTGCTGATGACCCAACATATGATATGTGGAAATGTTGTTTAATTGGGTATGTTATCGAGAAATCTTTGAGTCTTCAAGCCCTCAATGGAATTATTGATAGTACATGGAAATGCAAAGCCACTCTCTCTATTAATGACTCGAGTTGGCTTATTTATAAGTTTCCTTCGAACGAACTTCCTATGCTAGGGTTTTGGTGGAACTCAACATCATGGAGGAGCCGTCGAAAAGCGTCAACATTAGGTCGCCTAATGGTTCCACCCTTCTCCAAGCAAGTTATGTATAAGACCTTACCTACACATTTGCAAGACGTGTCGGGTTTTGGGACATTCTACTACCTCTTGTGGGAGGCCAACACCGGCGACTAGTTCGGGCAAGGGTGCGAGTGCTAATGGGACTACTTGCCACCCCCGACTAGGATTAATGTTAATAACAAGGTGGGCTCGGCTATGCCCGTTAGTCATGCCGGCGTTTCATCGGAGGGTACTCGGCTTGACCTTATGGTTTTGGAGGCGAGAGGTAGCTTCGGGGAATGGGTAGCGGCCATTGGCGAGCCTCGCGCCAAATCTCGCTCTACTCATAAAAATCGATCATAATAGCCTTCGCCTTCTCCATTAGGGCGAGCCTACTTATGTGCGAGTGCTCGAGCCACTCGGCCATCTATAGGCCTCCAAACTACCGATCGACCATATAAGGGTAAGGAAGTTGAGGTCGGTCCTTTCAATGTAAAGCTAGGCTCACGTTAGGGTGACAACATGGCCCCCGTCGGCGCACTATCAATAAACCTCGGTGGATCGGCCGAGCCGGGGGATAGGGTAGCGGGCCTTCAATGCCGAGATGGTTTGCGAGGCTCCATACCAATTGAGTAGGATCCGGGTGCCAATACGGGGGCTCGATCGGAATTGGAAGCCTTAGTTATGCCGATCACACCACAAGCAGTAGGCTTTACCATGCCAAAAGCTGCCAGGTGCAGTGTAAAATCGGGAAGTCCAAACGCAATGTTAAGGGGGCTTTGACCTCCTCGACTGCTCCATGATTGTTCTTTGTTGGAATGTTATGGGCCTAAATAGTCCCCTTAAACAACATGAGGTTGTGGGCCTTATGAGAAAGAAGAAAATAGATGTTTGTGCTTTGGTCAAAACCAAGCTCGACCTTGCTAAGCTAGCTCAACCGCACAAGTTTTGACTCAAACGGTGGCGGGTAGTCTCTAATGCCTCCGATGCCTCCAAAGCCCGAATTGTCCTCTTTTGGAACTCGGATATGGTATTGATTGATCCTCTTGATGTTACTTCCCAAGGGCCGCATGTTCGCATTCGCGACCTCGTTCACCGATCGTTATTCCATGCCATTTTTTGTATATGGATTTAATACAATCGCTCGGCGAAGGGAGGTTTGGGAGGACCTTTGTAAATGGAATCCCCAAAGTTAGTGGCTTGTACTTGGTGACTTCAACTCCATCCTCTCGTCGGAAGATAAGCACAATGGCACGACGGGGTCTACCTATGAGACTCAAACTTTCGCTCATGTTGCTTGGATCTTGGCCTTAGGGACCTTATGTACACGGGCGACCAATTTACTTGGAACAGTGGGAGTGTTTGGACTAAGATTGATAGAGTCCTTGCCAACCCTCTATGGCCTATGTCTATTCTCCCATTTTCTCGTCCATTTCGATCCGCTGTGGGGTTCTTTGATCATGCTCGGGCTTAGGTTCGGATAAACAGCCGACCTCTCCTCGATCGGAAGCCTTTTACGTTTTTCAACATATGTGCTCACCATGACAGCCTTTCTCCAACTAGTTGATAGTCATTGGTTCTATGGCACCGGGGCGCTCCTATGTTTATTTTATGTCAAAAACCGAAGGCTCTCGAGGGCCTTTGCGGGAACTCAACAAGCTCCACTATAGCCACATTTCTAAGCGAGTGGGCGGAAGCACTGTTGATCTTGACCACCTTCGGTAGGCCTTACGGTTAGATATGGATAACGGTAGCCTTCTAGAGCGGGAGCGACGACAAAGGCTAGTTTTGGTCAACCTCAAATCGTCAAAAAATGTTCTTCGACTAAAAGCTCAAATTCAAGTACCTAGAAGAGAGTGACATGGGCATCGAGTTTTACCATTCCTCATGAACCAAAATCACAAGAGAAACTTCATTCGTCGCAATAGAGGATGCCGAGGGGCAGCCTACCACTTCTCTTTCGTCATAGGTCACATTTTTGTAGGCTACTATCGGAAGCTCGCTGGGTATGACCCGAGCTACCACTCCCTTGATAGTGCTCGTTATTTCCAGCAGGCCTTACCTTGATTCTCGGTTCTCATGACTTCGTCCTAACCCCGGTTTCCGAGTGAGCTAATCCGTGAGACTCTATTTGGGATTGACAATGACAAAGCCCTAGGTCCGGATGAGTACTCTCTTTTTTCAAGCAAGCCCGGGATATTGTGGGGACCGACTTCGTGCTCGCTATGAAAGACTTCTTTGCTTCGGGGCGTCCGCTAAACGAGTCAACCGTTCGTTATTTCCCTCATTCCTAAGTCTACTAGTCCTCTTTTCCTTCGGATTATAGGCCTATCTCATGTTGTAATGTTGTGTATAAGGTGCTCTCAAAAATCCTCTCTTCCAGGCTTAGCGAGAGCGCCGATTTAAGTTATTAGTCCCATACATAATGCTTTCTTGGGTGGTAGAAAAATATCGGACAATATCCATCTTCTCCGAGAATTGCTCCGTCAATATGGCCACAAGCACGCCTTGTCGCATTACCTTTTGAAGGTGGACTTCAAGAAAGCTTTTGATTTAGTGCGGTGGCCTTTTCTACGAGGCCGCCTCTTATAGCTTGGCTTCCCGATCGCTTTTGTCCACTTGGTCATGGTTTGTGTGGAATCTCCCTTCTATTTTGTTTCGGTGAATGGTAACTCGTTTGGCTTCTTCCTGGGTAAAGGTGGGCTTCGGCAGGGGACCTTCTCTCCCCTACCTCTTCATAGCGTGCATGGAATACTTCTCCTGTATGTTTCGGATCGCTTCGACAAGGCCGACTTTAGATTTCACCCACGAGTGTGATTTCTAAAAAATTAGTCACATTGCATTTGCGGATGATATTATGCTACTTTGTCGTGGTGACGAGCCCTCCGTTCGGTGCCTAGCGCATCAATTACACACATTTAGCAATACCTCTAGCCTCGACTATAAACTCGACCAAATCGTCAATCTATTTTTGAGCCATTGGTAGCGACTCGAAGCAAGCTCTTCTTCAGGATACTAGGTTTGCGAAGGCACCTTTCCTTTTCGATACCTTGGGGTTCCACTTAGTCCCCACCATCTTTTAGGTAGCTAGTTTTCTTCACTTTTTTAGAGCTTTGAGTCGGCAGTCCAATCTTGGATAGGGAAGCACCTATCTTACGCCGGTCGACCGGAACTTTTACATTCGGTGCTAACAAGCATCACTCAATTATGGTTGGCCATCTTTTCCCTTTCTGCAAGTGGTTCTTTCCCGTATCACCGGTATTTGTAGAAACTTCCATTGGACCGGGATATAAAAAAGAGCCATTCCGCCTCGGTAGGTTGGAAAGAGCCGTGTTTCTTAAAAAGAGGAAGTTGATCTAGTGCTCGGCATTTGCCCACCCTCAATTAGTGCTTCCTTGCCGGGAAGTTGTGGGATGTCCATCTAAAAGCAAACTCGGTTTGGATCCAATGGGTTCATCATTTCTACTTAAGAGACCATTTGGTTTAGACTCGCCCCGCATGTCGGACTACCTCCCCCATATGGAAGGCAATTCTCCGCACCCGTGACCGACTAATTAACGGATTTAGGGCTAGCACTTTGGTGGAGGAGAAAATCAAAACTTAGGGCCAAGAAAAATTCATTCGTAACGCTTATCGGGATCTTCGCCCGATGGGTATGTTGGTTAATTGGAACAAGGCGGTTTGGGAATAGTGGGCTTTGTCGATGTACGCTTTTGTTCTCCGGTTGGCGATTAAAGGGAAGCTCAAACTCGTAGATCGTTTATGCTTTATTCCGAATGATGTTAGTCGTGCTTTTTGTCGGATAACTCTTGAATCTCACGACCACCTATTCTATGAGTACGCCCGGACGAGCGAGCCTATGGGCTTTGTTTAACACTCGGTTGAGAATCCATCGAAGCATGTCCACACCGCCAAGCGCCATTCGAGGCCTTTCTCTTAGAAGGAATAATTTGAAAACTAGAATACATCAAGTCTCACCGAGCATTACGGTTTACCTTATTTGGGAAGAGAGGAACAAGAGACTCTTTGATGGCACTCCCTCCTCAATCGATAGAATATTTCAAAAGTTTTAGGTGCTTTTCTTCATGATCTTTCACTTTCACGAAAATGATCATAGTGTCCCGAATGTTGGTTGAAAGCTTCCGCTTTTACTACCCTAAGTCCGGGCTTGGTTGTTGCCTCGGTTAGTCGAGTTCTACCTCGTATGTTTCATCTGTTTGGTCTTCTCGGTGAAAGTTTTTGTATGCTATTGAGCCTTTGTACATGGTTCCGGTTAGCTAGTTCATGATCACAATTTGGTTTTTCTGGAATCTTATATGTCGATTCCTTGAACACCCTTTAGTTCTAGCTCTTTTGCTTTGTTCTTTGGGAGCTCGTTCCCAATTTTTTTTATACAATCTTGTATATGCTACTCTTCGTTGGTTCTCCAACTCGTTACCTTTTGATTTATATACTTACATTTAAATAAAAAAGAGCTCTCAATGCGTCTAAAGTGAGAAAGTAGATAGAGTTGCTCTCCTCCAAGGGAGAACTTTCCCATCATATCCGGTTGGTGCTATTGCTTGTGTCTTCTTCTACTCTTTCATCTCCTATTGATCTCTCTTCTTGTGCCTCTCCCTTGTTCTTTGTTGTTACGACTCACTCGTTTCTCCTCTCTTTCTACCCGATTCTCTCTCTTCTCCACCCTTTCTTTTAGTTGTTTCATGGCCAGAAGAAGAAGAAATCTAGTTCCAAAATTGCAAAAGAAAGTGTGAGGAGAGATTTAGATGAACCGAGTGTTGGCCCTAGCTGCCCCGCTTGGTCCTCCTTCTCCTCTATCCGGCGTGGTTACTATTCCTAGATCTAGATTTGCCAAATCTATGGCCGACGGGTCCTAATTCCTTGCTCAACCTATTCCACTTGACCATGTGAAGGTTAAAGATTGCTCAAGTGATGAAGATTCAGCCTTTAAAGATGCTAGCTTTGAAGGTTCGGATCCGGATGAAAACTATGGCTCCCATTCTAAATTTTTCAAGGCTCATTCTCCTACCCTTGTTGCTATTGAGGCAAGGAATCAGCCAAGTGTTGAGGAGCAAGATAGTGGGAAGATGATTTCAAGGTTGGGTAAGCTCCCAAAAAGTCCACTTTCACCATTAGCAACCGTTGGCACTTCTACTCCACTACTAGGAGACAATGTTAGACCAACTAATACTACTCAACCTCGCCTTCTTCCTCGACTCGAATAATGGGCATATGTCGGATGAGGTGACTAGAACCGACTCAAGAGATGCTCGCCTCTTCTCCTACTAGAACGGATTGCCTTTCACCGAGAACAAACCTAGCTTTTAGCCTACCGCCAACCTGAGTAATTCCAAGCCCCATTCCGGAAGACGAAGAGATTTATTTGCTAATAACCATAGTGTTGAATCATGTCCAAAGATTACTCATTTTTCTCGCCATTACCGATACTAAAACTTACATTCCGCTTGATGATGACCCGAGATATGAAGTATGAAAGTATTGTTTGGTTGGATATGTGGCTGGAAAATCCTTGGGATTTAGGGCCCTAAATGGGATTATTGCTAACACATGGAAATGTCGGGCTTCATTATCTATTCATAACTCGAGTTGGTTGGTTTATAAATTTACCTCGAAAGAGGAAAAATTATCCGTGTTAAATGACGATCCGTATTTAATCTTTGGTCGGCCTTTGGTTTTGAGGCCTACGTCATAGTTTTTTTATTTTTCAAGCGAGGAGATGTCGATGGTGCCGGTTTGGGTAAAGCTTCTAAATCTTCCCCTTAAATGTTGGTCCACTTTGTGCCTCTCGAAAATTGCTAGCTTGCTTGGATAAACCAATTTAGTGTGATAGATTGATCGACTCTATGGATTGGATTTCTTATGCGAACGTTTTGGTTGAGCTAAACATTATGGAGGACTTGCTAGGAGTGGTAAAAATTAGGCTACCGAATGGTTCCATTCTTCTTAAGCCTCGTCGTCTACGAAACTCTACCTACTCATTGCAAGGCTTGTCGTGTTTTGAGGCACTCTACGACTTCTTATGGTAAACGCCCGACCAATGTGAATCGGCCCAATGAATGGGCCGTTAATGAGGCGACACATGCGGATCGGGGTAGAATGAGTGTGTTTCGTAAGTCGGGCATTGCTACTATCGCTACAAACACCATTGTGTCGTCGGTGGAAAATCTTTCGACCCTATGTGTTCGAAGCCAATTCGTCGTTCCGGTGTGTGGGAGACAATCGGGGGTAAAGCCAAAGCTAAGACCCGGTAGAACTACCAAGCTCAACATCGATAGAATACTCCCGCTCGGCCTCGACGGAACGGGCATGCTCGGCCTCGTCAAGAAAATCGAGCAATTCTTGGCCCCTATTTTGATGCTTAGATAAGGAAAGGTAAAGCTATTAAAGCTCGGTAAAGATAATATAGGGGTTGGCCCAAGTCGGGGTATTGCTATGGGGGCGGTTGGAGAGGATATGGTTAGCTAGGGTAGACTCGGACGATCCATGTGCTTGGGACTCGTTAGCCTAAGTGGCGAAACAATGTTTGTTGTGCAGGACGGACATATGATGTACTTGGTACCGAAAGTGAAGCTAGGGTGGATATGGCGGCCATGGTCATTAGAGTAAAGCAATCGACCAATGGTTTTACCGAAAGCTCTCGAGGGGTGACCACTAAAAGAAGGAGTAGAAGTACTTACGGAGGTGCTAGGGGGTTCCTACCTCCTCGGCGACTATATGTTGATTTTCACTTGGAATGTTAGGGGTCTAAATAGTCCCCTAAAGCGAGCATGAGGTTGTCGGCCTTATGAAAAAGAAGAAGATGGATGTTTGTGCTTTTGTCGAAATCAAAGCTTAGTCTTCCTAAACTTACACAAATGCACAAGGTTCGATTTAAGTAGTGGAGGTTATTTCCAATGCGACTATGGCCTCCAATGCCGTATTGCTCTTTTTGGAATTCGAATACTCGTTTTAATTGATCTTCTAAATGTTTTGGCACAAGTGGTTGAATGTCAAGATTCACGACTTTGTCCATCATATGGGATTTAATGCTACTTTTGTGTATGGTTGTAATACAATTATTCAAAGATGGGAGTTATGGGATGATCTTCGTAGATGAAACCCCAATTGTCCTTAGATTGTTCTTGGGGATTTCAACTTGGTCCTCTCACAAGATGACAAGCACAATGTTGTGGTGGTATCTAGCTATGAGACTTCGAACTTCCATTCTTGTTGGTTGGATCTTAGTCTTAACGACCTCAACTATAAGGAAGTCACTTCATATGGAATAGTAGCGAGTGTTTGGACTATGATTGATAGAGTTTTAGCCAACCCCTATTGGCCTACGATACAACAACCTACCTTTGTCCATTTCAGCCACTCGGGAGCTTTCTCGGACCATGCTCAAGCATTAGTTCGGTTGGCTAACCAGTCCCTCATGGTCGTAAATGCTTTAAATTTTTCAATATGTGGGCTAATCATGAGGACTTCCTCTAGACCGTTGAACAACATTGGCATTGTGATTCTAGGGGTAGCCCTATGTAAGTCTTGTGCGGGAAGTTGAAGAATTTGAAAAGGCCTTTGAAAATCCGAATAAGCTTCATTTCGGACACATTTCCGAGAGGGTGGCTCGGGCGGTTGATGACCTTGAGCGCCACCAGCAAGCTCTTCATCATGACAAGGATAACACCCTCCTTCTAGAGCAATATTGGCTATTAAGGTTGAATTTGTTTAGTCTAAAGTCGATGGAGAAGATATTCTTCAAAAAAAAAACTAAAATGTAAGTTTCTTGAGGATACCGATAGGGGCGGCCGATTCTTCCATACTTTTATGAGCCAAAGTCACAAGAGGAACTTTATTGCAGCCATCCAAGGAAATAATGGGCACTTTACCACTTCTCTTAACGCCATGGGGGGTATTTTTGTTGACTATTATAGGAATCCGCTTGGTTCATCTAGGGACACTCTCTCTCTTGATGTGGAGGTTATTGCTAGTGGGCCTTGTCTTGCTCCTAGTGTTTCGATATGCTTGCTAGCCCTAGTCACTAATGAGCACATCAAGGCGACTCTGTTTGGGATTGCTAATGATAAAGCCCCGGGACCGGATTGGTATTCTTCGTTGTTTCTCAAAAATGCTTAAGATATTATTAATGTTGACTTTTATGCTTGCGGTGAAGGATTTCTTTACCTCCGTGAGACTCCTCAAACAAGTCAATCATTCTATTGTTGCCTTGGTTCCCAAGTCAACTAATGCCTCATCACCTTCGGACTTTAGGCCAATATCCCGTTGCAATGTTATGTAAAGTGATTTCTAACATTCTCTCTTCCAAGTTAGCCCGGCCGTGTACGATATTATAAGTCCCACGAAGAATGCTTTCTTAGGAGGACGGAAGATGTCGGATAATATTCACTTACTCTAGAAGCTTCGTGGTAGAATGCTTTCTCAAGATGTCTTTTGAAGGTTGATTTCAAGAAAGATTTTGATTCGATACAGATGGACCTTTTTGAGAGAACTCCTTTTGTAGCTTGATTTCCCGTGTGCCTTTGTACACTTGGTTATGACCTCGTGTGGAGTCTTCCTCCTACTCCATTACTCGTGAATGGAGACCTTTTTGGTTTCTTTCCAAGCAAAGGAGGAATCCGGTAGGGTGACCCCCTTTTCCCCTAGCTTTTCATATCCTCGCATGGAATACTTTTCCCGTAGGCTTATGATCACATCTCGCTAGTGCTTGATTCGAGTTTCATCCGAAATGTGGGGTTTAGCGAAATAGCCACCTTGCTTTTATGGATGATGTTATACTTATTTATCGAGGAGATAGATCGGCAGTTCGGTGTTTGTTTCAATAGTCGAGCACTTTCGGTAGAACCTCTAGGCTTGCTATTAATGTGGCTAAATCTTCTATTTATTTTGGGGGGGTTAGAAACGACCTAAAGCTAGTCCTCTTATAGGATACGGGGTTCACAAAAGGTACCTTTCCATTTCGATATCCGGGGGTTCCTCTAAGTCCTCAAAGGTCGGTGGCTAGTTAATTTTCGCCTTTGCTACAAATTCTGGAATCGATTGTCCAATCCTAGATGGGGAAGCATCTCTCCTATGTTGGTCGACTGGAGCTAGTACGAGCGATCTTGGTCGGTATGATTTAGTTTTAGCTTGCTATTTTTCCTATCCTAGCTATGATCATCTCTCATATCACTAGTATTTGTAGGAATTTCCTTTGGACTGAGGATGTGAGCAAATGTCATTCGAGGTTTGGTTACATGGAAGCAACTCTCTTACCCGAATAAGAAAGAGGGTCCGGGCTTATGTGACTTCAAAACCCTCAATTCTTGTTTCCTTACCAAACGACTTTGGGATGTATATCTCAAAGCCGATTCAATTTGGATTTAATGGGTCCATCACTTCTACTTTCAAGAATGCTTTGCCTTTGTGGAAAGCAATCCATAAGGAACCGAGCTTGTTGAGAAATTTAGGGATAAATCTTAGGTGGTTGAAATAATGGGAAATTGGAGCCAAGGTATATTCTCTCATAATGCTTATACAAATCTTAGACCTATGGGTGTTACGGTCAATTGGACCGGGGAGTTTAGGAATCATGGGCCTTGCCGCGACATGTGTTTGTGTTATGGCTAGCGGCAAAAGGAAAGCCGAAAACTATTGATCGCCTAAGCTTTGTCTCGGAATAAACAAGCCGTGCTCTTTGTTGGCTTGAGCTAGAATCACATCGCCATCTCTTCTTTGAGTGTACTTGGACGGCTAGTTTATGGGCTCGGGTTAGACAATGGTTGAGAATTAGAAGAAACATGTCTACACTAACAAGTGCCATTAGGGGCCTTTCCATTCGGAGGAATAATTTGGAAGCTAGGATGCGAAGAGTCTCTTTGGGCATCATAGTGTACCTTATTTGGGAAGCGAAGAACAAGTTAATTTTTGATGGTACCCCCTCTTTAGTTGACCATGTATTCGGGAAGTTTTAGGTTCTCTTCTACATGATCTTTCACTTTCATGAGCGAGCATCATACCAACTTGAATGTTGGTTAATGGCCTCAACTAATGAGGTCTTTTTTTTAGGATTTAGAGGTCGGTAGTGTTGGGTTTGACGATTTTGCTTCGAAGCTTTGCTGGAGCTAGCCTCCTTAGGGTTTTACACTATGTTTGGTCCGGTTGTTGCGGAGGATTTGCCATGTTGGGCTTGTCTCCCTCATTTCTGATTTTATGTAGCTTCTATTGCTACTGTTTCTATCATTCGTTATTTCTTGGCTTTGGCTAGTAGTTGCTTTGTAGTTGTTGGATCATTCTTTATGGTTTCTTCTCGCCTAATTTTTGTTTCGTTGTAGAGCCTTTATACATGGTTCCAGTTAGCTAGGATAATTGTTTCGATTGGTTTTTCTTGGAATCCATAATGTCGATTTCTTGAACAACCTTTTGTATCTAGCTTCTTTTTCTTTTGGTTTCTTGGAAGCCTATTCCCAAAGTCATGTATATCTTGTATATGCTACTCTTGCTTGGTTTCCCGACTATGTTTCTTTCAATTTATATACTTACATTTAGATAAAAAAAAAAAGAAAAGAAAGAGCTCTCGGTCTTTTCTACCAATTTGAGATTTACCACTTGAAGCTTCAAATGCATCTCATATTCTAGGAGCTAAGAGTTATCCTTGTCGTTATGAAGAGCTTCTTGGTTAAGCTCGCATGTCCGATTTTGCTCTAGCCACCCTCTCCGAAATGTGAGTCGAAGTGTAGCTTATTCAATACTTTCGGAGGCCTTTTCAAGAGCTTTAACTTCCTACATAGAATAAACATAGGAGAGCCCTTAATATTTTCTTGCTAATGATAGTTAACAATCCGAAGGAAACTATCATGCGAGGCCCACATGTTAAAAAATTTAAAGCATTTTGGTCTCGAAGGAAGTTGGTTGTTCACACTGGATTGAAGCCGTTGCATGATCGGAGAAAGCTCCTAGCAGTCGAAATGGACAAAAGATGGCAGTGAAGCATGGACCGAGAGGGTTGACCAAAACTCTATTTATTTTTGTCTAGACTATACCTCTATTCCATGTATAGTGGTTGCCATAATAGTTGAGGTCATTCAAGCCAAGATCCAAGTAACAAGATCTAAAATCCGAGGTCTCATAATTGGAAACTACCCCTATTACACTTGTCATTTTATGAGAGGATAGAGTTGAAATCCCCTAAAATAATCCATGGGCAATTGGGATTCCACTGCGGAGATCATCCTAAAGCTCTCTCCCGTCAATAATAGTATTAAACCCATACACAAAAGTGGCATTAAAGCTAAACTCGCTGAACAAGACTTTTGATTCTAACATTCAACCCTTACGGAGATACGTCAAGTAGATTAATCAAAACTATTTCGGGATTCCAAAAAGAGCAATGTGAGCATATGGAGCTACTGTAGCATTCAAGATAAAACTCCATCGCCTTAGCCGAAGCTTATGCATTTGAGCAAGCTTTAAAGGGCTAAGCTTCATTTTGACAAAAGCACACACATCCATCTTCTTCTTCTTCATAAGGCCGGCTACCTCATGTTGCTTCAAGGGCCGTTAAGACCCCTAACATTCTAGCAATAAATTAACATCCAAGGGCGGGGGTGGTAGCCACCCTTCTACAACCACTCTTAGTTTTCATTCCCCCACTCGAAGTGGTCATCCTTTGGGAGCCCCCATGAACTCGTAGCCCCCTACTATTCCGAACACCATCAATTTGAGCATCAAGTGGTAGCACCCTTGTACTACTATCATCGTACTGTGCTATCCCAGCTTTGGCCTCAACTGTAGCCCAAGCATTATGGTTGGACAACTCACGGTCCACTCTTTCCATATAATTTCGGCCACTTAGGCTAGCGACCTCGGCGGATGGGTCGTCTAGCCTACCTTGGCCCTCAACATTTCCACAAGCAACCTCAACCCTTGTTTTCTTACCTTTCCCCTTACACCGACTTGATTCCTTAATTGAAGTAGATTCCGAAAGAGCTTGCCGCCCTGTGTGAATCCGATTCTAGCCCTTAGCCTTTCTTTTAACTCGTTTCCCATTCGTGTAGAGCTATCGCAATCTCGCAGTGCATGGGATCATAGCACTCTTTCCGGTCGGTAGTTGTAGAAGCATTGTAGTTGGATCTAGCCTTTTAAACACATGAACCCTTGGCGAGTTATACCCAACCGTAACGACTTCAACTCTCTTTTCTTTTTTCAACGAGCTCGAGGGGACTTTTTTACATCCCGAAGTACAATGACCCAAGACTTGGCAATTTTTACAATAAATTAGTAATGTCTCATAAACCACGGATTGAAGATGCTTAGACCCACTAAGGAAAAAAATGCCGACCATCCCCGGCAAGTCTTCCATAATGTTCATCTTAATTAAGACCACTAGCATACGATATTCTAGCCATTGAGGTCATCAACCTATCATATTGGATTGGTTTACCAAGCAAGCTAGTAATTTTTTATAAGCACTCGGTAGACCAACATTTGAGGGGGAGATTGGGAAACTTCACCCACACTGGGACCGTTGACATATCCTTATGTGAGAAATCAACGAATTCCAAGCACAAACCTCAAAATCAAAGGCCTACCGTAAGTCGGATATGGACCTCCATTCAAAACAACCAACTTTTCCTCCTCCGAATCAAATTTGTAGATAAGCCAACCCGAGTCATGTATTGACAATGTGGCTTTACATTTCCAAGTGTTATCGATAATGGCCCTAAGGGCCTTAAATCTCGAAGATTTTCTTACAACATATCCAACCAAACACGGTTTCCACAAATCACATTTAGAGTCTTCCTCAAGCAAAACATATATTTTTTTTTTGTAATGATAGAAAAATGAGTGAGTTTTGGGCAAAATTCGGAGATCGCGATTGTTAACAAATAAATCCCTCCATTTACTAACTTGTGGAGCAATTTGATTAGCCATTCCGGGATTTGCCTCGTTGTCCGGAGGGATGGGGGATTGAGCATTTACTTGAAGAGAAGGTCCAGCTGCTCGCCACATTCAAAGTCGATTTAGATGAAAGAATTTTTTCCCCAAAAGTGTATGGGACATGGTCACCTGGATTAATGTTGTTCGTCGAGAGCGCAGTATTGCTTCCATTAAGGAAGAGGTGTCCATGGACTCGCCAACTTGGGAATTCCCTTGTGCACTTGGACTATTACCCAACCATAACTCTCTACTAAGGTGAACGAGTGTCATCCGATCCGGATCTAACTTACCGAGGGTCAACGGCTTCACCCAAACCCGAATTGAGCATATTTTCCAAAGGAGGAATAGAATAAGCACAAGGATTGGACTTTGTGACCAGAATTTACTTTCAAAGTAAGATTTTGAACATAAACATCCGCATCCCCCGCCAACAAATGAGGAGGTGTCTTGAAGAACTTTGATTGAGAGGGTTCCTTCATGCTCTTATGGGTCGGAATCACGGGAGGAATTATATAGCAACTATACAGAGTGTAGCAATGGCTAGACCACTACTTTAGTTAATGCCGTGGGGGAGGAATTTGTTCGTTTCTATATGAATCTTCTTAGCTCGGATAGGGACACTCTTCCCCTCGACCCGCAGGTTATAGCTTCGGGGCCTTGTCTTGATCAAAGTGCAAAGGAAATACTGCTGTCCCCTATTTGCAATGAAGATATCAAGAAGGCTTTATTTGATAGTGACAATAATAAGGCATCGCGTCCCGATGGATACTCCTCGCTATTCTTCAAAAAAGCTTGGGATATAGTTGGATCCGATTTCTATGCTACCGTGAGGGATTTCTTCCTCTCTAGGAAACTCTTGAAGCAAATCAATCATTCTATAATAACCTTGGTTCCCAAGTCATCCAATGCTACTATGCCGATTGATTTTAGGCCCATCTCTTATTGTAATATTGTCTATAAAGTTATTTCCAAGCTTATCTCCTCCGGGATTGCTCGAGCTTTACTTAGCATCATTAGCCCCATGTAGAATGCTTGCCTAGGAGGTAGGAAGATGATAGATAATATTCATCCGGTCGAAGAGCTCCTTAGGCATTATGGCAGGAAACGTGCTTCTCCTAGGTGCCTTGTGAAGGTTGATTTTACGAAAGCCTTTGATTCTATCCGAGTGGCTTTTCTTGAGATAGATTCTTCTCTAGTTGGGTTTTTTAGAGTCTTTTATTCACTCGATTATGTCTTGTGTTGAGTCGCCTACTTATTCGGTTGCTATAAATGGTAACTACTTTGGGTTCTTTCCGGGTAAAAGAGGCATTAGACAGGGAGACCCTCTATCCTCCTACCTTTTTATAATTTGTATGGAGTATTTCTCCGGTATGCTTACGTGAGCAACTAGTAGGGAGGATTTCGATTTCATCCGAAATGTGGAGATCAAAGTATCGATCACATTGCTTTTGCCGACGATATCCTCCTCGCTTTGTCATGGAGATAGAGATTCTATCGCATGCTTGTCCCATCAATTGAGCATATTTATAAGGACTTCGGGTTTAGTTGTTAATGCCGCTAAGTCATCCATTTATTTTGAGGGAGTCGATAGCAGCTAGAAGAATGTTATCCTCTAAGATTCGGGGTTCAAAGAAGGTTCTTTTCCATTCGGATATTTAGGGGTTCCCTCGAGTCCCCATAAAATCCTTGCCGCTCGGTTCTCCCCTTCTACAAAGACTAGAATTTACGATCCAAAGTTGGATAGGCAAGCATCTCTTTTTCGTCGGGAGGTTGGAGCTTCTAAGATCGATTTTGACTGGCATGATTCGGTTTTGGCTCTCTATCTTTCCCATCCCCGCTTCAATAATCTCTCAAATTGTTAGTCTATGCGGGAACTTCCTTTGGTCTAGTGATGCTGAAAAATGTAGTTCTGCTTTGGTTGCTTAGAAGCATCTTTGCTGCCCTAAGGATGAAGGGGGCTTTGGTCTATTAGACATAAAAATTAAAAATTCTTCCTTCCTTGCTAAATAGCTTTAGGATATCCATCTAAAGGCTAATTCTATTTGGATTCAATGGGTCTATCACTACTCCTTGCAAGACCACTCGGTATGGGACACACAGGCCCACCAAGATGCTTCACCAATGTGGAAAGCTATTGTTGCTTTAAAGGATCGGCTTGTTGAGAGATATGGAGATAACGCAACCGTAATTGGAATGATGGCTAGTTGGCAAGACAACGATGGAAAATTCACCGAAATGCTTATAATCGGCTTAGACCGAGGGGGAGCGAGTAAATTGGGTTCGTGTAGTTTAGGAGCAAGTGGTCTTTGCCAAGACATGTTTTCATAATATGGCTAGTCGTCCGAGGAAAACTAAGAACCAGCGATCGCCTCCATTTCATTCCCGAAGATGCTATATGTCCCTTCGTAGGCAAGAAGAGGAATCCCATAATCATCTTTTCTTTACTTGTGGTTGGACAAGGACTCGTGGTCCAAGATCAAGCGATGGCTAAAAATTCGAAGAGGCATGTCGACTCTTAGGAGTGCTATCAGAAGATTATCATATCATAGGAAGAACCTTGTATCAAGAATGAAAAGAGTCTCTCTCAATATTTTATTCTATCTAATATGGGGAGCGCAACAAGAGAATCTTCGAGGCCGCCACGAACTCAATTGATAGTATTTTCGGGAGATTTCAAATTCTCTTTTACATGATCTTCTACTATCATGAAAAAAGACCATAGTATCTTGGATTTGGGTTAATCGCTCTACCTTCGATGGGATTATGCCAACTTCGGTTCGGTTTATCGTGGTGATATTGGTTGGAATTAGACTTGGCTTTTGCTTGGTTATTAGGGGTTGCTGCTTGTGTGCTCTCGGCTTTTTCGAGATGCTCTAGGCTTCATCAGCAACTATTTTTTAGGTTTTTGCTTTTGGGCCTTTATGTATATTTGTTGTTCATATATATATATAGGGTTATCTTTTGTAGGATTATTCTCCGAATCTATTAATGTCGGATTCTCTAAATATCCTTGTTGGTTCTAATTGCTTTTGCTAGCCCTTGTTTTTTTGGGGAGCATGTTCCCTTTTTCCCCGTATATGTAAACTCAGGCTTGCTGGTCCTATGCAGACCTTTTTGATCTTTTATATACTTACATTTTGATCCAAAAAAAATAAGTCGTCGATCCGTTAATCCTTACTATGTTTGGACCTAGTAAGTTTCCCCGTGTTGTGTCAAATTAAGCTGCAGGCTCCACTCTTGGTGGTGCCCTTCCATCAATTCCTTTAAGTTTTAGCCTTGCGACCATACTACCCTAAGAACCTAAAAACTTTGATTTCTCATAAGGTGCTTGGCGATTCATAGAAGCAACATCCGCCAATCCCCGGTCGGCATCGTTTATGGTTAAGAGTAGGATGGTATTTGATCGTCTTTGAGCCCCCAACTTTCATTCTTGATTAATGAAAACATCCTTGGTAAATGCTTTCACGGTTGTTCATCTTTCATAAATTCAAGAATTTCACCTCTAACTATGAAATACGAATGCCCTCGACCGTCCCGGTTAATCATTACTTTGATCCCGAAGGCCAACACAATAGGATCGAAATCCTATGATGTTATCCTATGCTAATGTATCTAGAGCGTAGGCTTGCTTTGTGCACTCTAATTTCTTTAAGGTAACAACACCGGAGGCACGACCCAACGAGTTAAGGCCGGGAGTGCATTGCCGATAGAAGGGACGAGGTGACCGGTGCACACCCGAGGCGGACCGACCGACCCAATCCAAAGTCCAACTATGAGTTTTTTAACTACAACAACTTAAATATACGCTATCGGAGCTAGAATTACCGCGGTCGTTAGCACCAAACTTGCCCTCCAATGGATCCTCGTTAAGGGATTTAGATTGTACTCATTCCAATTACAAGACTCGAAGAGCCTGGTATTGTTATTTATTGTCACTACCTCCTCGTGTCAAGATTGGGTAATTTGTGCGCCCGTTGCCTTCCTTGGATATGGTAGCCGTTTCTCGGGCTCCATCTCCGGAATCAAACCCTAATTCTCCGTCACATGTCACCACCATG